TCTATTTTAGAAGCGAATTAAGTTTTTAATCGAGTAATATCTCACCGCCTCAGTTTCTTGGGATAATTTAATTAATATAATTTAAATTATTTCTTTTCACTTAAATATCTTCATAAAAATTCAGAGATAGATTCGCTTAAATGTTCAGAATTCGGATCACTTAAATGTCTTTTACTTATCAGTTTTGTCATAACTAATAAAATAAAAAAAAATTTTAGTACTTTTTTTTCAACCCGGGAAACTCTCACTTAAAATTAAAAAAACAATAGTTATGAATACGTTTCCCATCCACACATAGAGCTCTAGAACTTAAACATTCTTAAAGCATACTCCAAATATTATGACAGAGGTCGATTCCGAACAGAGATATTAAAAGAATGCTCCTCATAAAAAGGGGAAAAGGACAGAGATAATGATCATGAAGGGACACGTCAAAGATGATTAACCCTCCGGTGTTATCTTTGGTGGATAAAACGAGATAATGATGTTACACCATATAGGCAAGATCATTAGGCCGGAAACAATGGTACGGTGTTGATAGCCGCTCTTCGCGCCCAACTGATAGGGAAGTTACCCAAAACCATTCATAATGATACACTTGTAGAGTGGTCGTAAAAAAACAGAAATGGGAAAAGAGATTTTGATTGTGTTGATTTGGAGCTCCTAAAAGAGGTATTAAGACTTAATTGGTTTGAATTTTAGTGATATTTTAGATTCAAAAAGTAAACAGCAGGAATAAAAATTTAATGTCAGTAATGGAGAAGATAATCAAGATAAGTCCATTTTAACGGAGGAAAAAAATAAACACTTATATTTTAAAATGATTGAAAGTGGATTCGGGGTTAGTTACCCAGCTGATAGGGAAGTTATTCATAACCATTCATAATGATACACTTGTAGAGTGGTCGTAAAAAAACAGAAATGGGAAAAGAGATTTTGATTGTGTTGATTTGGAGCTCCTAAAAGAGGTGTTAAGACTTAATTGGTTTGAATTTTAGAAGTATGCTTTAGTTTCACGAAAGAACGTTTTAGTTTTGCAAAAATTTGAATAAACAGCAAGAATAATAATTGATTGTGAATAACGGAGAAGAGATAATCATAAAAGCATATTTTAACAGGATAAAAAAAATAAGTAAACATGCATTTAAAGATGGTTGGGGAAGTTAATAAAGATGAGACGAGCTCGTTTACTGAAAAAAGTTTTCTGGTTAGAACAGGCTCGAACCAAAGATAAAACTTTTTTACTACTTCTAAACAAACGTTTGGTACAGCTATTAAGTATTAAACAAAATTTACAATTTGTTAATTAATTTTGATAAAAAAAGGTTTTAATGACTAATTTCCTTATTTAGGCATCAAAGGCCTAATAGTGAGACCTCAAAATTGGGCCTTTATCTCGGGCCTTCTGAGGCTCTAAGTAATCCTAAGTATCTCGGGATAAATTTATTCGGGCTCGAACCTCGAAAAGCGAACTCGAACTCATATCTAGCAGTTGCCCAATTGATAGGGAAGCAACCTAAAACCATTCATAATAATACACTTGAAGAGTAATCATAAAAACAGTGGGAGTGAGGTTTTGATTGAGTTGATTTGTTGATTTTTTAACAGAGTGCGTAGCCAAATCTATCAACAAAAAAAAGCACCTTTTAAAATAAGTACTTTTTAAGCACTCAAAAAAATTTAAGCACTATATACATTAACAAAATGCAAAATAATTTTCAAAGATTTTACATGACCAAGATAAAATAACTAGTTTCTGACAAAGAACTCTTTTCTTGATTATACTAGCCATTATGAAATAATCAAGAGATTTTTCGGTTCGATATCAGAGGGTGGAAAATGAAGCCTGAAATTGAGAATATCTTGCAAAATGCAGCAAAGTTACACATGAGAGTGCAATAATCTCACCGAACCCAGCTCAAAATACGTGGTGAAAATCGACATGGTTTAATTGGTTTGGATTATAGTAGTATGCTTTAGTTTTAAAAAGAACGTTTGATTTTACAAAAAAATAAACGGTAGGGAAAAACAGATTCTGAGCAAACAGGGTAGACAATCAGAAGTACATATTTTAAATCTAAATATGTACAAAAAAAATGGCTTTACAGAGCTTCAAATATACCAATACTTCGTTTAAAATATTTGAAATATAAAACAAAAAAATATGTGATTTTTTTTTTTAAAAGTTCATTTTATATTCTTTACTTCTGTGATAAAATATCATTTTGTTAAATTCACTCAAATAAAACCAAGAATAAATTTGCCATGACAAATACATCAGGCAAAACACAAGTAAGCAGACAGGGTAGAGAAGAGCAATTACATAGCAAAATCTGAAGAAGGAAAAAAATGATAAAGATAAAAATAAAACATCTTAACGCAATTTAAGCTGACAATTTCACACGGTACAGTAGCAAAATAAGACACGCAAGTTGTCACTGAAACCCAAGAACAAAAAGAGCGTATTTACAGAAGTGATAACAAACACATGTTTTAACATAAATCACAAACTGCCCTACGCATTAAAATATGTTTTGAGAATTGTCATAAAAAAAAAAAAATCTCATATCTTGTGAGGTCTCTTTGAGAGCCGTAACACGCCCCGTAATGGAACTCAGGCATCCTCATGGGATTAGCGTGTAGTAGTTTTCTTTACGCATCTTCCAGAGACAGAGAAGCGCACGCACGATGAACGATCTTGGCCTTCCCGTTGCCATAGTTACATAGAAGGATGTTGAACTTGGGAGTAAAGTAGCAGATGCACAATGAAAGAATGGGGTCGATTTTTCTACATGCATTTTTACTCATTTTACTCCAACAGAACGTAGAATAGTAAAGCCAGACAAGAGATAGTGAATCTCTCGGTAAGACATAGTAAGATCAATCTTTCATCCGATTTTTGTTAACTAAATTAAACAGGGATAAGTAGTCAGTTTTCAAATTATATTTTCGTACGTAAACTTAAAAATACTGCATAGTTATTTTGCAAATATTTTTCCTAACAAAGAGACAAAAACCAAAAACGAATTTCTGTTGCATGATCTACCAATAAACAATACAATTACAATCGCTTTATTAAAAAATAAATAAATAAACGAGAATCATATTTAACAGAAAATGACAGCCTCCAAGTAAAAAGCCATATCGAATCTTGTGATGTCACAATCAAAAACCAATATATTTATTTAAAAAAAATCTTAAAAACACGCAGTAAAACGTGAATTGAAATAATAACAGTTCCACATGATAAATTTTTAAAACCGGCGAGGATTGAATTCACAACCTCTGGGACATGGGCTCAACGCCCTACCAACCAGACTATCCGGGTATACAGATATGTACGTATTTCTTTTTGTTTTATCTAATTGCTTTCATCTAAAACAATTCGCAATGAATTCTCAGACCTAACATCAACCTCGACTGGGTTTTCCTCGGCAGAGCATTAAATAAACTTCCCAGAGAATGTCCTGCATAACTAAATGATTCCAAAACGTGTTTTACCGTCCGTAACTTTTTTTTTTATCTTATCAGAAAAAGAAGCCACCGTTTTAAGGATTAACAGAACAAAAAACGTCAACAAGAAGCGATGAAACATTAACTTGGATAAAGTCAGTGGTGCGTCGCAAGAGAAATAATGTATTGGAAAGTTCAAAAACACGTTAAGAGTGGCCGATTTCCACTGAGAAAGAAATCATTTGAAAAAAGAATTCAGACTTAAAAAATAAAACCTTATTCCTCACTCTCTACGCCCAGACAATGGTGCTTTGCAACTATATTAAATACCAGTGGCTCAGCGAGGAAGAAAAAACCACAGAATTCCTTTTCTATGTGCGGTTTAAAGAAAAACATCTAGTAATTACAAATTGTTATAAGAGAAAGTTTGAATAATATCAATCTAAACTTAACAATTAAAGCTGGACTCTGATTTGTCTTTGAAAATTAAAAAATAAATCAATAAATAAAAAACACTTTATAGTTTTTTGATACAGAATTTTAAACGCATTAAATATAAGTAATTAATACTAAAAGATAAAAAAAGAATTGCCAAATGAAAAGAAAACAAAAAATATATATTAGAAATCGATGGATTTTTCAGAACTAAATTTAGAAAAACAAAAAAACAAAAATTACATTATACTGATTAGTCATTATCGAATTTAACGTCTTTTAAAGAAATTCACTAATTGGTCTTTATAATGCCTTGTCATAAAATTGGCTGTCCCTATAGCCACGGCCAATTTACCATCAAATGAAATTTATTAATTTGTCATTAACGACAACCAATTTAATATCAAAGGAAATTACAAATTTGTCATTAACAACAGCCAATTTACGATCAAACGAAATCTACCAATTTGTCACTAACGACAACCAATTTACCATCAGATGAAATTACTAATTTGTCATTAACAGCCAATTTGCCATCAAAAGAGATCTACCAATTTGTCCTTAACGACAGACTTGCCATCAAACGGTATCTACTAATTTGTCATTAACGCAATTAGTCATAAATGCAATTTTAAAAAAAGTAGCCCAAATGCTAACCACTTTAAAGATAAAACATTAAAATGCGGAAAAAACGATAACAAAGAGCTAACTAAGATTGAGCTGAGTTAAGATTTTATCTTTAAAAATTGAAATTTTAAGTAAGCAAAAGTGTCAACTAAATATTCGTTTTTCTCCTTCAATAAAAAAGTTCAGTTAAGAAGTTTAACATTTGAACGATTCAAATATAAGCTTTGAACTTAACGAAAGGAATATTTTAAATATTAACCAAAAACACTTCGCGTTATAAAGCAATTATTTAAATATGATTGCAAATATTTCCTTAATTAAAGATATTAAACTACTCTAAATGGATTTTTAGATTATTTCATTTTTAGTGGCAATTTTAATATCCTTAGCTGCAAAAATCAGCTAATTCCTTCAACTGTGGACATCTGCACAAAAAATTTACCCATAAAATGCTATCACAGTATTTTAATAAAGAAATATCTTACTTCTTACTAGCGACGATTTCTCAAACTAAACCGATTCCTAAAATATCCAAGAGATGACACTTCAACACACAAAACAAAACCAACAAATGCATTCGTTTTCTAACCAAGCTATTCTCAGCGGCGTTGTTGGTCAACCAATTTTCATAACTTAACAGAAACGAAATACTCGTGGAAAATTATCCACTGAAGGAACACCATGGTTCGCTGACTTCTAAAATCGATCGAAGAGTCCATGTTGGCTCGGAGCACGTGCGCCACGGAGTATGTACCGGTGGTGTGGCCGCGTCGTAAAAAGGCTATGGATTTCAAGGGTGGAGGCTCTTCTATCTCTACCCCAGGTGTTGTAAAGGGGGAGAAAGGGGAAGATTGTTAATGAATTGGTAGATAGGAAAAAAATATGGTTCATTTTGTTCTTTACGTGACATGAAACTATCACGCAAAAAGCCTATTCCTGTAAGTCAGAGACGTATTACCCTTTTTAGTGTTTTTTTATTTTATTATTATAATAAATAATTGAATTTGAATTACTTTGCCAGCGTTGAACACACGATATTTGCTCAGGAAAAAAAAAGCAGTACGCTTCTGCATAAAATCAAAGCTACGTCAAATAATTTTAATTTACAAAACCAAAAATACATGTACCGAGTTAATATAGGACTTAGTTAGTGCCCGAGATGCTCGGGCCCCTTAGATTTGGCAATTATTTCCCCTCTCTTTAAGAATTATCTACATTAAGATTGTAAGTTAATAAAAATTGAAATGAATTAAGAGTACAAGATGGCTCCAAGAAAATTTGTGAAAAGAATAAAATGTATTCAAATGAATGTATGGTGTCGCATCACATGCATCTATATATATATGTCTTAACTACCATGACCTCCACCTTGCTCCTAATGGGCAGTTCAGGAAATACTTTAATTTACTTGAAAAATATCTTTCGTAAACCAGCTTTCGGGTTTTACTATGTTTTCTAAAATTGATGTATTGAAATTCCCTGTTATAGCGGAACCCTAGGGTTTCTTTGAAGGGACACATGGTTTCTGAGAATTAGGACTGGTTTGCGATATGCAAAAACCTATAACGAAAACGCAACAGGAACATCATTCCTGCTAAGTTACAAGATTGGTCGAGTTGGACAAACCACTCACCATTGCAAAAATTCTAATTAAACTATGTATGACAGAAATAGCTGAATGTGTACTCGGAGAAGATGAAGTATAAATAAAAAGTGTTTTTCGATTGTTGAAAAAACAATTTCTAGAGCTATGAATTATGCTGGACCATATTGCAAGACGAGAACTGGCTTTTTTGTTTCTTTCTTCTTTTTTTTTTTNTTTTTTTTTTTTTTTTTTTTTTTTTTTTTTTTTTTTTTTTTTTTTTTTTTTTTTTTGCCCATATATTCAATAAACTCAAGTTGGTGTTCCGCCAAAATAATGTCAACCATTCGAAGTTCTATAGCAGGAAAAAATAGAGAAATTTCTCGTGAAAACTTATAAGCTTGACATGCCACTAACAAGTTTCCTAATATACATTCTTGCTACAATTATATATTTGAAAACATCAAAGAACAGTTTTATATGAAAATGTAACCTCTTTGGGAAAATTGTAGCTTATCACGTTATTGCTTCCTCGGTCATTATATATTTTTCATTCTTTATCAAAAATGGAGAAAAATATAAATTTGAAGGATCCCAAATCAAATTACTATTAAAGAAAAGGAAGGAGGGATATGTTAGCAATCTCTGACCAATGACTATCAAGAACAAAGCAAAGAAAAAAAATTATAATAATCGAATCATAGAAACGAATTCCCACCCAAAAAGAGAATAGAATTTTACATCAGGAGGCGTTATAAAAACAAAGAATTTCTTTAGAAATCATCCCTCCCCCATCGAATGAACTGCTAAAACAATTTAATAGCCTATTATGTAAAACTAAAACATAATACAGTTACAAAGCTTGGCGAGTTTTGCAGGAACTTTCAGATAATAGCATACTGTAAAATGCATAGGTAAACTAACACAAATCACCAAGAGAAATAAGCTGTCACAGTGATTGTCACAGTAAACTAAAAATGAGATAAGAAAAAAAGCTTCCGGTGAAAAAGCAAACACGGATACAGTGGCCAGGTGTGTTAAGTGTGAGCAGATGGTGAAACATTTGGCCTCTGGTAAAACCAAAACTCCCACCAATTTCATAATTATTTATGCACTTTTTGAAATGTGAAAAAATATTTAAGGTACTTTTCTTTCTTTAAAAACAACACACATAACGATAGAATTAGGAAATATGCGGTAAAACACCGACTTTATGTTTTTTGCTAAGAAAACCAAAAAATAAATACCAAAACGGGAAAAAAATTCGGTCAAAGTAAATGTATACATGAATCATCCCCATAAAAATAGCGGGAAAATTCTGTTACTCCTCTGTCTGTAATTTTCCCTTATCTCGAATTTTCTATGGTACAGAGTGAAATGTTTTATTTTATATTATAACCGTCGTTGAACAGCCAACCCAATTTTTGGGTTTACGGCTTCTAATGTTCAACTCAGTAGCCTTATAACTTTGAACCCAATCCAGAAGACAAGGGAACTCTTGGATCAAGTATTGGGAGAAATTTTGCCTTCGTGGAGGACTTTTTGATGAATTTGCATTACATGGAGAGGAAGAATACGAGAACCTCCCACGGTAGCCTGACGGCAAGGGGACTGTTAACCCAGGATCCGTCTACCACTGAGGATATTTCCCGTCAGCACTGTGGTCGGTGCAAGCAGTATGCAGAATTCGTATCGACTGGGATTCGAACCCGGTTCGCCTCATTGAAAGGCGAACGCTCTATCCTCTGAGCCATCAAGGCTCAGAGTGCAATGTTTGCCGAGCATAAATAGGTTGTTTTTTTAATGCGTGGAAAAAATAAAAAGTATTGCAATATAAAAAAATAAAAGGATTCTTCATATCCGCCAAATTTTCTGCTATTTGCAAAAGAATTTTTCAATAAAAGAGAAATAACAATTAAAATAGTAAGACACTAATGTTATAAAAAAACAATACAAATAAATGAAATAAAAACAAATATCGTAACCTGATCGTAAAAATCTTGTTTACGATAACAAATCGAATAAATATAATATAAGTAACCAGTACTTAAAAACATCAATATTCCTTGAACATCATTATTTATTGCATATAAAACGGTAAGGGGTAATATAACGAAAAGACACAGTTTCAAATAGTAAATCAAAAAAGCATTTTGAAGAATAAAACCACGATTTTTATGTAGGAAATATGATGATTCTGTTCATAGGGCTGCTATCCCACGAAAAATCTGTTTACTAGTAAAATACCAATCATAAAACATAAGGAAAACTTAATGTAAAAACGCAACCTCCAGAAAAAATATAGCTAATAACTAGATTGACCCAAACCCTTATAACGTATTTAAATCATTCTGCATGCGATGATGATCATAATAAAATTAAATTTACAAAATCAAGAATCAAATAGTTAAGAAAAACTTTAAAATTTGGAAGTAAGTAGCTAAAGGTTTTCACTTTGTCTTCTAAGGAAAAAAAATAATTTTTTTTTTTCAAATAGAATTTTTGTTGTTTATCATTATTTTATTATTTTTATAGGGACACGGACACCCAGTGGATAATCAGACTCGCATTAAAATGTTTAAAAAATAAATCCTAATCCACAGCCATAAATAACAGTTTTACAAACCCAGCAATACATCAAAATACATTACATTCAAAGAAACGCAACATCTTTCATACAAGTACTAAAAAAAAATCCTTCTGATTTCAAATACATAAAAAAAGTAAGGCAAACAAGAAAGGGAAATATTTCTTTCCATGTTCTCTTTATAGGAGGGACATTCTGGTGACAGAAAAAGCAATCTATCCGTAACCTCAACCTTCAAATCGGGAGGGGCCCCTCGACCTCTTGCCCCATGACTAACCGCCACTCTTAATTTTTCTACATTACTGACTCACTCTCATCTATGCACTTTACCTTATGCTCTAACTTCAGTCGAACAGATTGAATAAAAAAAAGAACTTGTAGGCTCGAATCAACGCCTTTATTAGATAGAAAAACAGTTACCTCAGCAGGTACAACGGCGAACATTTTTTTGGAAATCAGCCAATAAGTGCTTTTTTTTTATTTCATTTTCTTCCTTTCAAACTGAAAGGAGAGATCGAATTTTTCAACGGATATTTAGGTAAGGTTGCAAGCAGTGTAACGTATCTAATAAAATGTGATTGGAAAGTTATTTTTGTTTAGGCGCAATTGAAGTTCTTTTTTCATTGATACATAAAAACGGATTTGTATCATTATCAGGACTTGCTCTGATAATGATACAAATTCACAGTTATCTATGAAAACACTTTGAAGGTAGGTCTAAGGCCGAGGGCAGGCTGCTTTTGCTTTCCTCAGTGAAATAGATATCCCACAATTACAAATTGATAATTTGTAAGCTACAAATCGTTTGCGGTCGCCCCCTTTTACATGGTGGACGCTAGAGGAAGGGGGNCATAATGTTCAAATTATTATTTTTTACAAATATTTTTATAGTCACCGATAATTAATAATAAATACATTTTTGTACAAGTATATGAATGTATACAATAAAATATATATAACTAAATTGTAATTCTCATTTCATCCCATTTGTCCCGCTTTGTCTCAGTGAAAATGTGGTCACTTTAGTCTAAGAGCACTAAGAAAAATAATCTATATACAAAATCTTGCATGTAGACTTTCACTTTTGAGCGATATTCTGTCTGTGCAGCTAATTCAAAACAAATTTCTCTTCAGCAAATTCAAAGCTATATACATTTACTACTAATGAATAATATGAGGGGAAAAACACCATACGCAGCAAAGCCGGGTTGCTAATTTACAAATCAGCGGCTTAGATGTAGATTTTTGTTGGTCGCAATTATGAAGCAAGCTTTTATTTCTTTTAAAATTCGTTACCTCAAAGGGAAAAAAGTAAAAACCCAAGCTTTTTTTTCTTATTTAAGAAAATACCCTTCCAACCATTAATCGAGTCTTAGAACGTGAAGATCCAATCATTAGAGCAAAAGTTATTCTAGAGTGATCTGTTTTTTTTTTTTTCGCACTGTACTTTATTTCTTGGAGGATATAAAAAGCATTGATCATTTAAATCACAAATATTTAATAATTTCCCAGCATTTCTTAAATCAATGTCGAGAAAANAAAAAATCGTATGTTCATAAAGGACCCAATTTGGGGTCGAGGTAAAAAAAGTGCTTTAGAATAAAATAAATTA